TTGCGTTTCATCATAATTCGTCCATGGACACGTGAATTTATCTTCGTTTCATTCAGAATTCTCAGGGGAACGAAGCTCATTCGGCACCGAATCAATCTCCGTCACTCACCCGCGAGAAAGTCGGTGATAATTAGACGAGGCCAATTAGTAGTTTTTACACGATCCCGAGGGCGGAAATTGTCTTAATAATGTTCGGATCGTATATTCATGCTTCACGAGCTTTTACTCTTTTTTGTTTACGACTAAATCGTTAAAATCTCTCACTAAATTCAAGCACAAAATTCTTCAATTTATAAAGTACTTTTTACGAATGTGCGAGCACTCGTAATTCATACATAAATAATTGCATGATTTAATATATTTTCCTCTACTTACGAAACCGAGAGTGGATAATTACTAATATTGCCACTTCACCAACATTAGACAGAAGTTTACGATATACGTAGCAATACAGTGGACGTTAATGTAACCGCATTTGAGATCATTCGCATAACAACATTCTGCATACTCTACGAGAGAACCACATTGTCCTCTCGGGTGTCGCGAAATGGACTTCTGTATTTGGATGACTGCACCCGTTAACGTTAGAACGATCACCGCGAATGGCTCTTATGGAACCTTCTTTTGTCTCTTCCTGTATCGGACAAATATTTTTCTCTTTTGTGTCGTGCGAGTCACTGCTAAAGCTCGCATTAGAATCGGTTTGAAAGAAGTAGCGAAACGAAGTACCGAGTTTATCGGGGTCCTTACTCTAGTCAATAGAGATTCCCAGGATAGAGAGATTCCACTGGAATTCAAGGCGCGTATGCCGAGAAAATATTTTGTGTATTCGATTCTTTTCAAATGCAGATATCTTGCACATTGTGCGGGTGAAAGTGTGAACCTTCGCACGAAATATTGCAGGCAAAGAATGCTTTTACTTCTTAGAATAATATTTGCCCACAATAATATCTGCCATCCTTGCACTATTAATTTTACGTGCATCTAAGTAAGAGTAACCATCATCAAAATCAGTTGTCGATTATTACTTAGATAGAATCTGATCATTGCAAAAATCAAGTTTTAAAATAGTGATGAATTAGTTTGCATAAGTTCGACACAATGTAGAATTTCTCGAATCGAAATTTAGAATCTGCTAGAAGTCTCGAAAGTATCGGCATCTTTTAATGTGTTACTCAACATATTAATATAATGTTGGACAAATAGAATTTTTATTTCGTTTTGTCCGTTTTTATCGCGTTAGAGTTTTATTCGACTCTTTTCCTAAGCGCTTATAACATTTTACTCAAAGCGCAACATGTAACACTCGATTACAAAAAAAAGTGTGCGATATACGAGAACATTAGAACAATATTGACAAAAAGTGTAAACTCATCTTATCCCATCGCAAACAACCGTCGCTCATCAATAAGCGCCCAGCGACCAACAGTCAAAACTTCCACTATTCCAAGGCGGTCAAATTGACCTCTGTGCTTTGCGGACTTTTCCGGATTTTTCCGTTTAGTCGCGGGCCGGCGAGCGACGTACATACCACGTACTATGTGTGTCGGTGCGTTATCTGTTGTTCCTTTGTACAATCAAAACATTCGGGACCTTGAAGGCGGTTAACTATATCTGTGTGCGTCGCGGACTTGTCTTTATTTTTTCATTCAGTTCCGGGCCGGTGAGCGACGCACATACCACAGACTATATGTGTCGTTACATTATTTATTGTTCCTCTCAGATAATTAAACTATTTCGTCTTTTGAGATACTTTTAATTAGTTTCTCGTCGACATCGCGTTATTTAACACATGTATCTTCGATTGAATCGTGTCTACGCGAGTGTCAGTGTCAGTGTAGTGTGAGTGTTAGTGCCAGTAAAATGGAGCAGCCAGGATGCTGAGTCGAGAAGTCAGGACGGAGAACAGAGGACGCAAGCAGCGATTCATCATATATTTTTGAGGTACGCTAAATCACTTATTATACAGGAAGTTTCTGTTTCTAAAGGATGTTTTAGAAACTTATCGAGATTAAAGAAATATTTAAGTCGAAATTTAGACCGGTATTCATAGATTGCCACCATTTGTCATATAATTATAACTTTATTCATTTCTAATTAATAGTCTCAATCTGTACTTACATTTATTATATTATTCCATTCAAGAAATATTAATCAAAAGCTAATTAATGGCTTATGAATACGAGTTTGTAATTAATTATGTTCTCAAAGATCTTATATAATTTGCAACTCTATGAATACCGGTCTTAAAATAAAATATAAATCTCGCAACTGATAATAATATTAATAACTGATGTGCAATACGTAGGGACATGTATAAAAAGAGTGGACATATAAATCTAAGCGGTAAAACAAAAAGCCGCTCTGCCGAGTGCAAAATTTAAGCAATAGGGGAGGGTAATAATACGTTCAAGTGGAGTACAATGTTCGAAGAGAGGCAGTGAGGGGAGTAGATCGTTTCCAAATAACATGATGACGTTAAAGGATGTATTATTGATGTATCATTGATTAGAGACATCATTAATGCATCATTAAACCGTCATTTGATTTGATATTATTATGTTTGTGGAGCTTACACTTCAAAATGGATAACTTTTGATTCAGACTCTGAATCAATGTCAAATTGTTTATAATTACTTTTAGACACAATATTGATTAATCTGTGAATTTTTCAAAATCTTCATTATATACGATATATTTTTGAGATATAGACAGTACAATCCCTAAATATATATATATATATATATATATATATATATATATATATATATATATATATATATATAATTCATA